ACGGCCTACTATGAGCTAGTGACCGCCTACTAGTGCTTGTGACCGCCCACTATGTACTTGTGATCGCCCACTATATACTTGTGATCGCCCACTATGTACTAGTGACCGACTACTTTGAGTTTGTGACTGCCTACTACGTGCTTGTGACCGCCTCCAATGTGTCGTGTGGTGTGCGCAGTGGCGGAGGCGAGCGGGCTGGCGCCGCAGGGGCTGTTCGGGGGCAACCCGGCCATGCTGGGCGACTACGACGAGTGCCTGACCACGCACGCCGGCTCCTTCTCGGGCCAGTACTGCCTGGCGACGGCGTGCCTCTCGCCCGACGACCGGCCATGCGAGTCGCTCTACTTCGCCGCCGTCGCCGCGCGCGCCCACCGCGCCTTCGCGGAAGTGAGTGAGCGCGCGCGCGCGCCTCGCCCTGACCCTCGCCCTCCTCCTCCTCCTCCTTCTCCTCCTCCTTCTCCTCCTCCTTCTCCTCCTCACGTTCCTTCTTCTCCTCCTCACGTTCCTTCTCCTCCTCCTCACGTTCCTTCTCCTCCTCCTCCTCACGTTCCTTCTTCTCCTCCTCTTCCTCCTCTTCACGTCCCTTCTTCTCCTCCTCCTCACGTTCCTTCTTCTACTCCTCCTAACGTTCCTTCTTCTCCTCCTCACGTTCCTTCTCCTCCTCCTCCTCCCTCACGTTCCTTCTTCTCCTCCTCCTCACGTTCCTTCTACTCCTAACGCTCGTTTTTCTCCCCACGCTTCTTCTCATTTTTTTTCTTCTCCTTGGTATAGTGCAGGTTTTGGTATACAGAGTGAACCATGTAACTTCACAAGCGCCTGTCGCTTTTGAGCGCTTGGAGATATTGCAATGACGTTTTCTAGGAATTGCGCGAAAGGTTGCTTTATCAGCATATTTTGACTATGAGTACTTGTTTATGCTCTTAGAAACTATATGAGTTTCTGTCTAAAGAAAATACTGGAAATGCTTTGGAGTAAATTTCCTGCGGCACATGATAGCGTGTTGTTCTCAAATCTCGTTATTGTGAACCTGAAACCTGCTGGCTTCAAACGGCCGCAGTTACGTCTCAGCTTATTTTTCCGTATGTTTTCATTAACCAATGTGGATAGCTTCGTTGAAATACATGGCGCCAATTCGTATAGGTTTAATTGAGAACGAGCTTTAACCGTGGGTAACGAATACTAGAACGTATGCACGCAAGAACACGCAGGGCCCACGGTAACATGTAAACAAACACAGACACACAAACATAAGGATAAATCCACGTTATCCGATTTCATTATGCAGGATTAGAGTATCGAGTCACCTCGCTTGAGGGTGTGAGGAGAGAAGCTCAGAGAAAACAAGATGCCTGGGATAGTAGATATAAGGGGATCTCCTTATTTAAAAAAGAATAATAATAAAAAAAATCAACTCCTGTCAATACAAATCCATTTCTTCATGCCAAGAAAATACAGTTTAGTAATCAATTTTAATTACAAAAAAATATTTGTTTTGAATATAAAAATAGGTGCTCTAAGTATTAAGTTCAGACCTGTGGCAAGTTCCCTCATGTTTGTGTCAAGTGGCCTAATAGAAGGTAATTTCAATTAGAAGTAAATACATTTTTCTACTGATTGCTTACGTTATTGCTTCTTACTGCCTTCGATACGGAGACCAATTTACACAGCGTAACTTACCAAGATTTAGAGGATCGTGTTTGCGAGAGAAAGTATAAAAAAAGTTGAATGATGCCACATGTTCACTTAGGGAAATAAAGAGAGGGAATAATGAAATGAAATCATAAAAGGGAAATATGAAACGACAATCCGAGCTGAGTTAACACCTATTATTTTAGTAAGTAAATCTAAATCATTAAAATTAGGTAAAACATAAAATATTGTATGTTTCACGGGCGTTAACTTGTTCCAATGGTCTTGTACAACCAAACACATAAGGGTTTTCTCCCTTCTTGTCGCCATTCAATAATTAGAACACATATTGACCTCAGTGCAATAATTAGCCAGAACGGTCTCTCCACACTGAGCCAAAACAGAAAATCGTATTAAAATTGCAATTACTTGTATGTAGGTCATAACCAGATCACTGGAAAACAAGTGAAAGGGGCAACACCTCCAGAATCTATTATGATTGTGGCGAGCACGCTATTTACATTTTAAAAACTGCATCTCGTGCCACCAACGTAACTTCTGCTGCAAGCGCTCCCACCAGCAAAGTGCCACCGCGGAGACACTTAGCTGCCGCGTTGTATTTACGTGCCGCGCCCGGACGAAAGTGTCGGGGCCACTGACAAGTGGCGGGCGCTGCGCAGACGCGCGTCGCGTGGGCGAAGGCGGCGCCGGCGCTGGAGCGGCTGCCGCTGCGCGTGGGGCTGTGCGTGCCGTCTGCGTGCGGCGCAGGCGACGTGCGCGCCCTCG